ATCGATTAACATTTAATTTTGAAGACGATCCCTCAGCTTCAAATTAAATTGTAAATTTGTAATTTGTAAATATGTATTTACTTTTTACATTGTATTTGTAATTTAATAAACAATGTAAGTTTGTACAATTTGTAATTCGTCACAAAATGATTGCACTCTTTTTTCCTTGCCAAGTTTTTATCCCAATTGGGTTTTTCTTGGTAAGGTTTTTAATGAGGCAATCATGAATTACAAATTTAAAAATTAATAAAGAAATAATTTTTTTATATAGTTCGTGTGTTCATTTCAAATTTAATATATATATATATATAAATTGTAATACTAATATATATATAAATAACTTAATATTAAAAAAAAAGTTTAAAAAATTCGGGCAATTCGGGCGGGCTCGGGCCGCCGAATACAAGCCCGCGGCCCGTTCAAGGTGAAATTTAGGCTCAGGCGGGCGGCCCCAAAATCTCGGCCGGGTCGGGTTCAGGCTCGGGCAAGTCCTCGGACTTTTCGGGCGGTCACGGGCGGCCCGTCCAAAGTTCCAACACTAATTGGATGCTTGGAAAGTTCCACTAGATGGGCATACGTGTTTGTGATTTGTGAAGTGAAGGGCCTAAATACTAATAAAATCTATAAAGATTTCCACTTTTATTTTCTTTTATTTTTTTATTTTTTTATTTTTATTTTTTATTTTTTCATTCAACACCATTCCAAACAACAAAAGGAAGAGGAGAAAATCGTTACTCTCATCATCAGAACCTGAATTAATTCCTTCTTCATTCCAACGGCTGCCTGCGAAATTTTTCCCTTTCGGTTCCCAAACCAACTTTTATTTTATTTTCTGGTCCCCAAAAAAAAAAGATTATTGATAATGGGTACGCGAACCCAGCACCAGCAAGGAAGCCGAGCCGTCGACGACGACGGCGACGACGTCCCGGGGCTGGGCGGCGCTACCACGACGACGACGGCGTCGGGGCAGTCGGTGTCTATGAGCGGCAGCGTTGGGTCGCCGTCGAGCCGGAGCGAGCAGACGATGGCCACTCCCGCCAACGACAACACTTTTCGATTGAATCATCTCGATATCCACGCCGACGATGCCGGTTCCCAAGGGTCCCTCTCCTCTCTCTCTCTCTCTCTCTCTCTGTTTTCTTCCTCAATGCTTGCTCTTGATTCTGGGTTGGGGCTTAGGGCACAACGATGATTTTCCTTTGATGTTAATTGCAATGAGAATTTACTTACTTGATTTTAATTGTAATTGTTGCTCCGAATTATGCTCCTTTTCCTGTGGATCTTTGGCTACCTGGATTTTCCAAGTTCGCCATTGTCTTTGTCTCTGTCTCTCTATATTTCCACAATGCTTGCTCTTGTTGTTTTGTTTGGGGCTTAGGGCACCATAAGAAATCAAATTCCGTTAATGTTGATTTTCGTAATTGTGATTAGTGATTCGAATTGTACTCATGTGGAATTGGTTTTTCCAAGTTTCATCATTGTTTTTGTTCATGATGGTGCGCTTTGTTATGGAGACTTGTATTTCTCAATATAGTTTTTTTGCGTTGTTTGTTGGTTCAAGAATGGTAAATAAAGCTCAGATTTATTGAATTGGTCTCTGATGAGAACTTGTTTTGGACAGTAGTAAGAAGAAAAAGAGAGGTCAACGTGCTGTTGGAGGTGATAAGAGCGGAAGAGGGCTTCGCCAATTCAGTATGAAAGGTGTTTAATTCATCGCATTTGCATTATAACTATTTTTTATTTTTACTTGTTTAGATCTTTAATAGTTCGAGATGTGCTTTAATTAATGTTTGCTTTGCATGTGTGGGATCTTCAGTTGCGCAGTCTTGAATTATAGTAGTTAATGGCTTCATTATTGATTCCATGTTGGTCCTTTGTTGTGGAATGCAGTGTGTGAGAAAGTAGAAAGCAAGGGAAGGACCACTTATAATGAGGTCAGGTGGTTTCTGAAATCATTTATCATATTTTTTCATTCTTATTCAAGTTCTGATTTTTATGGTGCAAGATATTGTTTGTCTTTGTTATCAATTTTTTGTTTGAAAGCTGCATTTATTCGCTGTTGAATATCGGGTATTAGATACTGGTATCAGTCCCTAATAGCTTGAACATGTTTAAGGGGGATGAATACCGACTCTTTCAAAAACCTTTTGATGACTGTTACAAAGCAACTAATTTTTGTATGAGTTTTAGTATTGTAACGTCAGTTTGTGCTTTCTTTGTGTTGAAAATTTGGACTGACATCTCAAGACTCTTAAAGTATTTGATATTTCTACCCTTTGCTTATGTAATGGGAATTGTTGAGACTAGGTTATGTTAGCTCTTAAAACTTTGACACTTAGAAATTTGTAAATTTAATGGAAACTCATTGTTTGAAATGTTGAAAGCTTGCAGTGTTTCTCCGTTTAGTGATTTCATAATTACTGGATAACAAATGGCAAATAAATTTTTTAAGTAAAGTTCTTATATAAGGTTAGCAATAGAATTATGGGTTTATACGGACTTGATGAATTCAGTTGGGTTATACTTCTTGTTAGCTATTGATAAACTGAAATTTTCTGAAATGGAAAATTGAATTTGAATGTTTTAAACTAGATTTCACGAGAGTGATTAAAATTTTAAATCTTATTGAGCTACTGGATATCCCATACACATGTGACTTATAATATATGCTTGGTACTCTTTCTTCTGTTTTCTCCAAAAAGCTCCACGGTCATGCAAAATTGTCAACAATGAGAAAAAAAAAATTTTCCCCCTTAATTGGGTATATACATTTAAAAGATTGTTGTTCCTCTCTTCTGATTGCTATTGTGTATAATTTTGTAGTTTTATGTTCCTTATCTAAGAGTTTAAAGTACCTTCCAGGTTGCTGACGAACTAGTAGCAGAGTTTGCTGACCCTGGCAGTAGTGTCACGACCCCAGATCAGGTTTGCTCTAAGACATTGAAGCGAATGAATCTATTTTACTCTGTGCTCTTTTATTCTATGTCTCGTAACTAAGAGTTGACAGACTCGTGAGTGGAAGAAGGGGTCAAAGAAACTTGCTAATCTTGATCTTTCTTTTTTGGACAGCAACAATATGATGAGAAAAACATACGGCGAAGGGTATATGATGCCCTGAATGTTCTAATGGCAATGGATATCATATCAAAGGATAAAAAGGAAATACAATGGAAGGGCCTGCCTCGTACAAGCCTTAATGATATTGAAGAATTGAAGGTCTGAGTATATTTTGCATGTGCATCAAGTGGATTCGCTGGATTGTGATCTTGTGAAGGTTTTAGGTTGAATACGTGCTTATCTGACTCTTTAACATATTTGATGCAGACAGAGCGTCTCAGTCTCAGAAATCGGGTCGAAAAGAAAACTGCATATTTGCAAGAACTTGAAGATCAAGTACGAGACCTTTTCATTCTCTCTCTCTCTCTCTCTCTCTCTCTCTCTCTCTCTCTCTCCCTCCCTGGGGAACTTTGGAAAAGGCTGCATCTTTGCTTGCACTAATATTTGTGAAGTATATAGTTTGCACAGCATATTTCTGACCATGCTTCTATGATCAGTTTCAATGGATACTGACTTTTTATCTTATTTTATCAAGTACATAGGCCTTCAGAACCTGATACAACGGAACGAGCAATTATATAGCTCTGGAAACACCCCCAGTGGCGGCGTGGCTTTACCTTTTATTCTTGTGCAAGTACGTCTATTACCATGCTGATAAATGGTTTATTGTGTCTTTTTTAACTCATTATGGTTTATCAAGTTGCTTTATCTGATCTCTCATTTTCTTTTACCATGACCTTTTGATACTCTAGACTCGCCCTCATGCAACTGTTGAGGTGGAAATATCAGAAGATATGCAGCTGGTGCATTTTGACTTTAATAGGTAAGGAAGTCTGTGAGCAGATTATCTTTTCCTTGCATGTTGTTACATCGAATTGCCATTGTCCCTCTGTATTCTGAGGATGCTGAAACTGCTATATGGAATTTGAGTTGAATTTGAAATATAATTTTAGTACTAGTGGTACGGAGTCTGATTAGTTACTTACTTAGGAATAGACTATTGTTTGTAACTGCCTAAGCCTTTCTCCTGTTAGAACTATTGAAGAAATGACATTGCCAATTTAACGATTTGTTTGTTTGATCCTCCTGCAGCACCCCATTCGAGCTTCATGATGATAATTACGTCCTGAAGGCAATGAAATTCTGCGAAAGGCCCCAGGCTGATGATATGGCTCACAATTTTTCCGCAGATGGAGGTGAAGGTTCTAGCATGTCGAGCATGTATCAAACACAGATACCGCTTCCATCAATGTCAAACACACCAATTAGGACTCCCACCTCACCCCCACTTCCCGGGATACTGAAAGCACGCGTCAAACACGAGCACTAATAAATTTGAAGCTCGATCATCTTGTCATGGTGGCCTATAATTTTTAGATTTTGTATATTGTGTAGAGTAATTTGCCAGAAAGAGTGAAATTGGCCGCTCCTGATTTTTCTCACTAGGTTTTGCCCTTAGATGGATATAGGTTTAGGTCTCAAGCAGATGGGTCTTAATTGTTATGGACTTGCGATTTTAGGTCTGGCAGATTCTTTGCCTCCTTGCCCCTCATGTGCTATTGTAATATTTGTTTTTCATTTTTACCCCACTTGGCCTTTTAGCTCCAGCTTGTAGTAAAAGAAGTGATAATGTTAGTCCCTTGAAGTTTGTCCAACTATAAATAGAATCACAAAATTTATTCGAACGTATTCTGTATCATCTGCTGCACTCATTTCGATTATCTCTTGGAGAGCCCTTGTTTGCAATGTATGTATATAACAAGGTACGCTTACAGGGAAAATGCAAAGAGGAGAGGTTCCAAGAAAATAAATACCATTTAGATTTAGATTTAGATTTAGAGTGTATGGATTTAGATTTTTACTTTTTTTTAGTTAAATGACTAATATTAGTAAAAAAATATTATTAATTAAGAGTAATAATAAAATTTCAGACTCGTATATTTAAAAGTATAATTTTAACTCCTGTACTCTAAAGTGTATTTTAAAGTGTAATTTGAGCAATTTTCTCTCTAAATTACTCTTAGACTCGGAGTGGGCTTTGATAAGAAGGCTTCTACATCAACAATTTTCTCTAAATTACAGACTCGGAGTGCGAAGGAAGGAAAAGGAGACAAAACGAATTAAGATTTTTACCGCTTAATCTTAATTAATTTCTTTTTAATCAAATAATTATATAGTAAAGAGTATTAATAAAAAATAAAGGTTAAAAATTAAGATTAATACACTTTAAAATGTAGGATAAGTAATTTTCATAAATCAAGAGTAAACACGTTTTTTCAGTAACCACCGTCGCTTGAGATCTAATTCATGTCGTTTTTATATCTAGAATTCATGTAGACAACATATCGTCTTATGCATGTATTGTCATTTCAAAAACTAAAAAAAATTGAATAAATGAAAAAAAAAATTATAATAATTTTTTACCACGACATTTAATTTTTATATTTATTAATAATCACTAACCATTAAAATTAAATTCTTATTATACCACGTCAATTTATATATTTATTAATAATCACCGACCATTAAAACACCGTCCATATAATATATTAGTGTGATCATGAATATTTCATGTTTCTGTTCTTGCGGTAAATCATAAAAAGTCCCAATTTTCTTTAATTTTTAAATTTACATTTATCTGAACAAGAAGAAATGCCAAAAAAAAAAAAAAAAAAAACTCCTAAATAACAAGAATATTATCTGTCGTTTTTTCCGTCGTCCTTCCCTCCACAAATAAAATCTGCACCTGCTTTGCTTGCATTTTCTTTCTGCTACTCTCACTTGTTCTCTCTCTGACTCTGTTAATGGAGTCCTTCAAATTCTCCTTCCTCTCCAACACCACACCACTTCTTCCTCCCAATCCCAACACCACACCAATACCCACCCAAACCAGAATCCGACTCCGAATTCGCTCCTCATCGGCGGTGACGCCGGACCCCTGGACTCCTCCCTCCGGCGACCCTCTCAAGCCGAAGCCGAAGTCGAAGAACCCTAAGAACCCTCTCTCCGACGACAACGCCCGCCGCATAATAAAGGCCAAGGCCAGGTACCTCGGCGCCCTCCGCCGCAACCAGGGCCCGCAGGCGCAGACCCCTAGGTGGATCAAGCGGACCCCCGAGCAGATGGTGCAGTACCTCCACGACGACCGCAACGGCCACCTCTACGGCCGCCACGTGGTCGCCGCCGTCAGGCGCGTGAGGGCGCTCTCGCAGAGGGCCGAGGGGGAGTACGACATGAGAATGGTGATGGCGTCGTTTGTTGGGAAGCTCAGCTTTAGGGAGATGTGTGTCGTTTTGAAGGAGCAGAAGGGATGGAAGCAGGGCAGGGACTTCTTCTCCTGGATGAAATTGCAGGTGAGAAATATAAAATTTACAACATTTTTCCTACAACTGAAATTCATATGATTGTAGACAATCATGTTAGTTGGCTTTTCAATCCTTGGAGATATGGTTACCTTAGTTATTAGGATTATTTGTATCCTCAAATGTGTCTTAAATTCTAGTCATTCACACGCTGGCCTCGTACTTTAAAAACTCCCGCTTTCACTCCGAATATTGAATTAGCCCCATTTAGAACTTAGAATTTTTTATAAAAGTACAGGGAGTTTTTAACAAAAATTCGAACACAAAGCGTTAAAAGCGACTAATTCGAAATTCAGGGCACAAAGTGAGTTTTTAAAAGTTAAATGGCAAAGTGGAAAAAGAGCTGATCGTAATTATTATTAGTGGTTGATTTGATAGCTTTAATGTTTAATCTGAATGCTTCTTGTTTTGGTTCATTCTTCAATGGAGATTAATACTATGTAGTGATAGACTTGTGCTTAAACAGTTAAGCTACCGACCCAGTGTTATTGTGTACACGATTCTTTTGCGCATATATGGGCAAGTTGGGAAGATCAAGCTGGCCGAAGAGACATTCTTGGAGATGCTTGAAGTTGGATGCGAACCGGATGAAGTTGCTTGCGGTACCATGATCTGTAGTTATGCCAGATGGGGCCGTCACAAAGCCATGCTTTCGTTTTATTCCGCTATTCGGGAAAGGGGAATAATAGTGTCTGTTGCAGTTTTCAACTTCATGTTGTCCTCATTGCAAAAGAAGTCACTCCATGGAAATGTCATTGAAGTCTGGAGCCAGATGGTGGAACAAAGAGTGGTGCCTAACAATTTTACTTACACAGTTGTTATTGGCTCACTTGTTAGAGAAGGCTGTTATGAGGAGGCTCTTAGGGTTTTTGATGAGTTGAGGAGTGTTGGGATGGTCCCTGAGGAGGTAACATATAGCCAGCTAATCAGTTTAAGCACCAAAAATGGTAAGTGGGACCAAGCGCTAAAACTATACGAGGACATGAAGGCTCAGAGAATAATCCCGAGCAACTACACCTGCGCTTCGCTTCTAACGTTGTATTACAAGACTGAGGATTATTCTAAAGCACTTTCTCTCTTCTTGGAGATGGAGAAAAATAAAATTGCTGCTGATGAAGTTATCTATGGATTGCTTATTAGGATATATGGAAAACTCCGTCTGTACGAGGACGCACGTAGAGCATTTGAAGAGACTGAGCAGCTGGGTCTTCTTACGGATGAGAAAACGTATTTAGCAATGGCACAAGTCAATCTCAGTTCAGGGGATTTCGAAAAGGCCTTGGAGGTTATTGAACTAATGAAGTCCAGAAATACTTGGTTCTCAAGATTTGCTTATATTGTTTTGTTGCAGTGTTATGTTATGAAAAAAGATGTCAGTTCCGCTGAAGTAACATTTCAGGCGCTATCCAAGATTGGACTCCCTGATGCTGGTTCCTGCAATGATATGCTCAATTTGTATCTAGGACTAGATTTAATAAAAAAGGCCAACGATTTTATTGCCCAGATAAGGAAAGATCGTGTAGTCTTTGATGAGGAGCTTTGCAAGATGGTTATAAAAGTATACTGCAAAGAGGGAATGCTAAAAGACGCGGAACAGCTGATTGGAGAGATGGGTACAAATGAATTGTTTAAAAGTAATAGGTTTGTCCAAACAATATTCCGGTCATTACGCGCACACAGGGGAGACGAGCAACTTGAAGCCAAATTAACAAACTTTGACCAACCTGACATAGCGGCTCTCCAACTTGTGATTCATATGTATATGGCCGATGGGAATATCGATGAAACAGAAAAGGTTCTAGCGGAGGTGCTCAAGATTTCTGATGGTCTCTCAATTGCTAGTCGGCTTGTTACTAGCTTTGTTAAAGAAGGCAAGAAACCATTTACAGATTACCCACTTACGTACACCTGATCTAGACAAAGATATAGTTACATCTTCAATATCTGGTTGTGACAGTTTTTTTCTTTGTCAGGTGATGCATTTAAAGCTAAAACTCTTGTCATTCAATTGAGCAAGCTAGGTTGCAGACTGGATGACACCGTAGTTGCTTCTTTGATTAGTTTGTGTGGGAAGCAACAGAATCTGAAACAAGCAGAAGAAGTCTTTCTCGCATTTTCTGATTTGCCTGTTACTAATAAGTTATTGTGTAAATCTATGCTTGATGCATATGTCAAATGTGGTAAAGCAGAGGAGGCCTACTCACTCTACAAACAAGTTGCTGAGAGAGGTTACTGTCTGGATGCTGTTGCTATGAGCATAGTTGTGAATTCTTTGTCTAATAGTGGTACGTCCCCTTGAATAATCCACAAACTAGAAAACAAGCTACAATTCTTTGTTTGTGACTGGCTTTGTAAGTTGATTTGAAAGTTGAAACCATTGCTAATAAAGAAAGAATCCATTACCAGGCAAACATAAAGAAGCGGAGATAGTCATCCGCAAAAGTCTTGAAGACCAATTGGAGCTTGACACTGTAGCATACAATACCTTCATCAAAGCCATGTTGGATGCAGGTGGGACCGATGGCTTCTTTAACATATTTTGAAAAATTTTGCAATCATTACAGCTTGCAATAACATTGCAAGTTTCATATTGCAGGCAGATTGCATTTTGCTTCCCGTATATATGAGCATATGCTTTCAAAGGGTGTCACTCCATCAATTCAGACATATAACACCATGATCAGGTACGGGAACTAATATTCCTTCCGATAAAATGAAATAAAAAGGACAAATGTAGTTAATATTAGCAAGTGGTGCAGTGTATATGGGCGAGGCCGAAAGCTCGATAGAGCTACAGAGATGTTTAATACCGCTCGCGACTTGGGTCTGTCTCTGGATGAGAAGGCATATATGAATCTGATCAGCCATTATGGGAAAGCTGGTATTCTTCCATTCATTATGCATGATAGAGTTTTTTATTCTTCCTAGTCGTTTTGTTGATATCAACTTGATTTCCTTCGTTACACATTCACTTTGTAGGTAAAAGGCACGAAGCATCCTTGCTCTTCACCGAAATGCTCGAGAAAGGAATAAAACCTGGGATGGTACGCAAATTTAATTTTAAAAACTGAGGGGATCGTGATAAACAAGGGCCTAAGTAGAAATTTTGTATTATTATTCTAGTCAATATTCATGTTTAACTAGCTTTATTTTGATGTATGGAAATTTACATTCATCATTTGAATACTTGATTGACTACATCATGGAACATGGAACCAAACGTGACACTGGTCTCTCTTGATTTAGTTAGGCGCCATTGAAATAGCACTTTTACACACATGCATTTAGTAATTAGTGCATTTTGGTTGATACATCTTCATCTTTGCATAGAAACATTTGTAGTAATTAGTTACTGAGTGTTTATACCTTGTCTTTTCTGTGAAATGCAGGTCAGCTACAATATTATGATCAATGCAGTTGCTAGTGGAGGACTTTATAAAGAAGCAGAGGAACTTTTCAAAGCTATGCGGAAAGATGGTTGCTCGCCCGACTCTTTCACTTACCTTTGCTTAGTTCGAGCTTATGCAGAGTCTCGGAAGTTCTCTGAAGCTGAGGAAACAGTTAATTCCATGCAGAAAAGTGGTGTAACTGCTTCCTGCGTGCATTTTAACCTCTTACTCTCTGCTTTTGCAAAAGCAGGTGTAATGGCGGAAGCAGAAAGGGTTTACAGCAGACTGCTTGGAGCTGGTTTAAAGCCTGACTTGGCGTGTTATCGGAACATGCTGAGAGGTTATATGGACTATGGATATGTGGAAGAAGGAATCAAATTTTTCGAACGTATAAGCGAGTCTGCAGAGGCAGACAGATTCATTATGAGTTGTGTTGTGCATCTTTACAACGCTGCGGGAGAGGAACAAAAAGCTGCCAGAATTCTGGACTCGATGGGCATTTTGGGAATCGCGTTTTTGGATAATCTTGAGGTTGGTTCGAAGCTAAAAGTTCCTTGATTATTTCATAGGGAGGGGATATTATATAGCCGAAAAAGGGGGAAGAGCATATAGGGAATGCAAGCTAGTTGTGTCCCTTCTTTGATTTGCCCAACTATTGCTATAAAACCATAGTTGTAGAGAAGCAATTGGAGCATTGTAGTGCTAGGCTATTTGAGTTGGTGGCAAGAAGCTCCTGCAGTTGTATGGAACTTTTTTTCGACTGCATATCTGACTGAAAGGAATAACAAGGAGAAGAGCATGCTATTCATCACCATTGGTAATGCATCATCACGTGTCTGAGTAAAAATTGAACGGTCATAAAAGCACAACATTACTTGAGATGGGTGGCAAGAGAAAATCTATTTGACACGTTTGGCTTGGATATCATGCTGGAATGGTGGTGTTGCCATCAACAATGGCTAGTGGAGGTAGATTTTCTCGCTTTCACTCTCCTGAAGTACCAAAATTGTAACTTATTAAGCTTGGCATGGATGGAAGTTTTGTGCCACTTTGGTTGTGGAGGGCAAAGTGAAATAACGCCCAATTTTCGAGGGCCAAATTTGAAATTAACTCCATTTTGAGTTGTGTCTAACTTTATCCCAATTGTGAACTAATAAATTGAAGTACATTCTTCTTGTGTGATCGCTTCATATATAATCAAAAGATTAATTACAGTCATTAAAATTCGTTATGACATTTGCTCAATAATGTATAATTTAATATAAATACAAATAATTAGGCAAATATGAATATGATAAATTATATAAAGTATGTTTGTTTAGGCACGCGAGAATGTAGATAACAGATTTATGAAACTAAGCTTGCATTCCAGAAGTGGTAGTTTCCCACCTCCTTCATTCCTACTGCCTCCTTCGGCAAGAAGTTCCCTTCCTTTTTCCAATATGCCTGATTGGTTTCTTTATTTAGCTACGAGAAGCACTAGTGAAGTGAAAAGAGGGTATAAATTTTTGGTCTGTTAATATTTTCATTTACTTCCAGTGAAAGTACTCCCCTGACATCAAAAGATATACATATTATTATCATTTTTAAAGCAAACCCGCTTTTTTCTTTTCTTCTACTTTTTTTTTTTTTTTTTGCTTATTTTACTTTAAGAAATACTTTATGCAGTAAATTATTATTTATTTTAAATAATTTTAAAATTTTATATTTACTTAATTTAGTTTTAAAAATTTATTATTTACTACGATTTTTAGACATCAAAATCATGTATTTTATAAAAATAAAAAATAAAAAGAACAATATCTTAAAATGGATGAAATATGTTTCTAAGCAGAGAAAATCCAAAAGGTACCCCGAGTTTTGTCTAAATCCAATGTTTGCCCTGGTATTTTTTATAATCTAAAAAGTATTTCTTTAGATTTTTAGACTATACCAAAAGTATCCATAATTTTTCAAAAGAAGTAAAGTATAACTCCTTCACTGGACAAATTATTGAAAATGACGTGAATACCCTTAATAATCAAATACTTAAACTTTATTGTAAATATTATTAAGTAAAAATTAAACTTAGAGAACAAAGTTACTGTTTTTCATAACATAATTTCTATTTTCTAAAAAAATCCAAACCTTAACAAGTCAGACTAGTACAACTCCATACAAGATCTCGCAACTCTTGCCATTCACACATGACTGGTCGAATTTGGACTGTCGGACTAGTTGGACTTTGATCCCACACTAGATCCTGCTTCATAGTCATCTAAACGCATTGGCTCTTTTTTTCTTGATTTTATGTAGTTTTAAATTTTGTTTGACAAATTTTACATAATTAGTGGCTAAAGTAATATTTAAATAGTAGTTATTGAGATTGATTTTGGCATTTAAAAAATTTTAATCAGTTGTGGGGTTAATTTTTACTCTTGAGAAAAATGTGAGAGATACTTTTGTGATAGTCGGCCTCGTTTATTTCACCGATTCGAGTTTTCAGTTTTAGATTTTTACAGTAAAAAACTCTCAGAAAATGTCACATCTAACTTTTTTTGTTACAGTAAAAAGCTCTAAAAAAATGTCACATCTCAACTCGAATTGAAAACTCGAATCTGTGAAGTGAACGATGCATAAAAATATAACTACAAGTGATACTTTTTGAATTATTAAAAAAAATATATTAGACAAACTCAGGAGTTCTTTTTGAATTTCCCAAAAGCATGTTTTTAAATTCCGTTGGCAATCCGCCATCTCCCTGTTATTACGAGTGGGTCCCGTGCCCCCCGTCCTTCCTATGCTGTACTAATAAAAGCAAGTATTGTTACAACTAAAATCTCAAAAAACTTATTTTAAATTTAAATTCAAAAATCTTTAAATAGTTGTATAAATGAATTTCTCATTATCATGTAAATAATAAACTCTTAAAGTATTACCAACACGGTAATACGTGTGCATATTCTTAAAACTAGTAACAAACATAAAAGAGCCAAAGTTCTTTTATGGGATGTCACATGGCAACCCTTCATCTTATCTTTTTTTTTTCTTTTTTATCTTTATTTTTTTTTAATTTTTTGTGTTTTTTAATATATTTTATTTCACTTTACTCCTGTGAAGGTAAATTTTTCACACATGTGTTCCTATTTTATTTTTTTATTGTCCTTTCTATGGTGTTATCTCATTTTTAAGAACACTGGTATTTTCTGCTTTTCAACCGTCAGATTTGTATCAGAATCTATCTGTTCTGCATACTTTTTCAATCTGGTGTGATTTTGACTAGATCTAACAAATGAAAAAACAAGGAACGCCGGTGCTCTAGAAAAGGAGAAACACTAGAGAAACTCCCTCAAAATAAATTTAAAAATTCTTAAATGATTGTGTAAATGAATTTCTTGTTAGGGAGTTTCTCCGGTGTTCCCTCCATTTTAGGAACACTAGTGTTTTCTATTTTTTCAACTGTTAGATATGGTCAAAATTACAATTAGATTAAAAAAATGTGCAGAATAGACATATTCTGATACAGATTTGACGGCTGAAAAATAGAAAACACCGGAGAAAATCTCTTCTTATTAGTTAATAAATAATAAATTGGTCAGGTGTCTGCAATACGACAATATGTACGAAGCACGTTAAAAAACTAATTTCCTAGAAAAACAACAACTTTATTACTTTTCCCTGAATACCAAACGGGTGAATCTAATCTAAATTCGTAGAAAAAGAGCAGCTTTTAATGGAAATGGAGTGGATATAGATTTTCTTGTGTTCAATTTTCGGAAAGTATGAAAGCTGTATTTTATGATGCACTTGGGGGGAGCAGAAGTTGTGTACCATTTTAAGATGCAGAGGGTAAAGTGAAATAATGTCTAGTTTTAAGGGTAAAATTTAAAATTAGCACTTCATTTTGAGTTGTGTCCAATTTATTTAACCATTGTGAATTAATAGATTAAAGTATATCCTTCCTGTATGAAACTTCATATATAATCAAACTATTAACTATAGTCATGAAATCTCACGATTATACCTGGAAAATAACATTCTTTCTTTAGTTATAATAGCCACGTAAAGAATTACAATATTTTCAATAAAATCATTATTTATTAGTTAATAACAAAAAAGATTTGATCTTCGAATAACCACATTCGCGTCAAATTAATTATTTGTGACTCTCTGAATACAAATTTTATGACTTTACTGATTGAACATCAAAATTAATGTCCTTTTTTTTTTCCCACAACACAATCAAACCCAAGTCCAAATAAATAATGTTCTTAGCTCAAAGGGGAAGCTGTAGCAAGCCTGGCTCTTAGATCCTTTCTTAGGATCTTTCCAGATGGGGACTTTGGAATTGCATGGACGAAGTACACCTTGTGTAATTTCTTGTAAAACACCACCTAGATAAAAATAATTTAAAAAAAAAAAGAGTTATTGAAAACTATTAATATTGGTTTTTGGCCTTTTGTACAAGATACAAGCCAATTTGGATCTTGCATAATTACCTGTTTTGCTATGAATTCTTTTACAGCCTCTTCTGTAAGACCGCTGTTAGATCGAACGACAAACGCTACGGGAACTTCGCCGGCGGCGTCGTCTTTTTGCCTGTTTTTATTAGTAACAGTCGTGTAATTAGGTTTTAGATCTTGCATTTAAAAAACTAATTAATATTAAGATTGAATATAATTTATATGTATATATGTATGTATGTATGTATTTATAAGGTAGTTACTTACGGGACTACAGCTGCGTCTGCTATTGAAGGATGGCTTACAAGAAGAGACTCAAGCTCAGCTGGTGGTACCTGAATGAATTTCAAACCAAAATTAATGTATTATTTAAAAAGAAAATATTAATGTGTTATTAAACTGGAAAAACCGTGTATGAATTTTGTTTTATTAGTATACACACCATGTTAAATTAGTTTATCTTACGAATTAGTTGATGGAGAAACAATGGAATGGACTTTTTTTTTTTTTTTTTTTACAGATTTTTTTGGGGGAAAAAAAAGGAATGGTTTTTTTTTTTTTTTTTTTTTTTTTTTTTTTCATATGTTGTCTGATTTCTCTCTGAATCTTAAATTTTGGCCTAAACATCTTTTTTATAAATTTCAACAATGTGGTTCATTGGTTGAGAGAACATATGTTGTACCTGAAAACCTTTGAATTTGATAAGCTCCTTAACTCTATCAACAATGAAAATTTCTTGATCATCGTCAACGTAACCTATGTCACCGGTATGAAGCCAGCCCTCAACATCTATGGTGCCCGCCGTGGCCTTGTCATCGTTCAAATACCCTGTTTATAAAATCGAGAGTCGAACACATTAAAAAACTGTTATTTAACATTTGATGATGAATCACTACACATGTACATTCGATAAGAAAATGGTAGTAATATTGGTATATATATATCCTAATTCCCAATCTTTTTAAACTAACGTGCGATAAATAAGTTGTTATCTTTACATTGGTAATCTTTTTGTTATCTTCATCACAAAGCCATGTTAATAGTGCCTCAATCTTTTACTTATTATGATCCTTACTACAAAATACTAGATGTGCAAACATGTTGGGTGGAAAAATAACAATTCATATGCTAAGTCAAGTGGTATTAAAAAAATAAAATAAAATAGAAGTTATATTATTCAAAAGTGAACCACGACATATGCGTTGATAATTTCAATATATTTTTATGATACCTTTTGCGTCCAAATAAAATAACAGTTGTGTCCTAATATCATTGATATAGAAAAAAACATGTTAAAAAAAAGTAAAATAAAAGTTGTGTCCTAACATTATTCAAGGACTCATGCGTTGATAATTTCAACAATATATTATTATGTTAGAAACTTAAAAAAATAAATAAATAAAAGAAAATCAATAATGAAGGCGTAGTAAGTAAACCTTTCATAATTTGGGATCCTCGAATGCAAATCTCTCCAGGCTGGTTGTAGCCAAGAGAAGAGCCAGTTTCAGGGTCAATAACCTTGAGCTCTGCATTCCTAACCACACAACCACATGAGCCTAACTTGGGTGGAAATGGCTGCTTTGCAAACGACAACGACATTGATATCACTGGTCCTGCCTCAGTCATTCCATAACCCTGTGTCAATCACAAACCCCCCCCATGTTAATAATACTGCCTCAATCTCATCATATTCACCGTCAATGGAATTTTTTAGAAAGTTGAAAACAAAAAATAAATTAAAATGACCTTCATGCCAAAAGTTTTAAAAAGTTAAAAAGGAGTTATTATTGTTTATTATCCCCCAATTTACATATAAGATAATTCATTGAAATGCCAAAAAACTATTCCATTCATTTCATTATTATTGTTTATTGACGTCACACACGACGTATATACTGTTTTCTCTTTTTCTCCTCTTTTTTTTTTTTTTTTTTTTTTTTTTTTTTTTTTTTTTTTCTTTTTTTTTTTTTTTTTTTTTTTTTTTTTTCTCTTTTTCTCCTCTTCTTTTCTCTTTTTTCTTTTCCGTAAACTTCGTAAAAAAAACTAAAACCTTTTCGTTTGAATCTTTTCTCTCCTTAAACGTTGGAAAGTTCAATTCAGGACAAATAGTACTAATTCTTCATTTTTCCCCCCAAAAAATTAAAAAAAAAAAAAAAAAAAAAAAAACAGAGAAATCCAAACCTGGCCAAGAATTGCCCGAGGAACTCTGCTCCTGAGCGCGTCCTGAAGCTCCTTCCCCAGCGGAGCCGCCCCGGAGAGCACAATCCGAATGGAGCTGAGATCGTATTCCGCCACCTTCGGGTTCTTCGCCAGCGCCAGCACCAGCGGGGGCACCACCGCCGCTATCGATACCCGGTGCTTCTGTACCAGCTCCAGCAACGCCCCGATCTCGAACTTATGCATCAGCAGCACCGCTGCGCCGGAGCGGAGCGAGTTTAGCATCACGCTGTTCATCGAGAATATGTGGAACAGCGGCAGAACGCATAGAAACACGTCCTGTGTCGTCAGATGGAGGTTAGGGTTTTCTCCGTCGACTTGCTGAGCCACGCTCGTTATCAGACTCTTGTGAGTTAGGATGACTCCCTTGGGCAGCCCCGTGGTTCCGGAGGAGAATGGGAGTGCCACTGGATCGTCCGCGCTGATTTTTATCGCATCTAATAATTGATCATCATCATCTTCTTCTTCTTCAGACTGATCTTGGATCGTTTCCGTTTTCTTTTTATTCCTTTTCAGGAGTAGTGACCAGAAGTGTAGGCAATCCTCCGGCGGGTCGTCGACGGTGATGACCTTGAAGTCTTCTCCCATTTTCGGGAGCTTCTTGTCGTCCGCCGCGGCGGGGGCGTCGCGGAGCTTGTCGACGTATTGGGATTGGGTGATGATGAGCTTGGCGTTGGCGAGGGTGAATTGTTTGCAGATCTCGGCTGCGGTGTAGAAAGGATTGGCGGTGGTGGCGACGGCGCCGATCATGGAAGCCGCCATGAAGGAGAAGACGAACTCGGGGCAATTCTGGAGGAGGATCATGCAGACGTCTCCTTTCTTGACACCGAGACGAACGAGTCCTGCCGCGATCTTTCGGGTGATGAGGTGGGTTTCGGCGTAAGTGTAGGTCTTGCCGGTGGAGCCAGAGATGATACATGGCCTGTCCGCGAACTCCGACAAGCGCTCGAAGCAGTATGCGTGGAGAGGGATGTTGTTGGAGATGGTGATGTCTGGTAATTTGGATTTGAAAACATGACTAGCAGTTGTAGTACTAGAATTGTCGTTGGGAGAGATTCTCTCCGCCGGAGTTTGTTGTTGGGTTTCAATGGAGGAATTGTTAGCTACGGAAATCATATTTTCTCACTTTTGGCTCTTGAACTTTGGTTAATATAATTCAATTCAAAATGGCTTACAAACAAGATGAGATTTTGGGATAGAATGAAATAGCAATCGATACAGATAAAATGCAATAATTGTTATATATATCTCTTTATATCTAGTCTAGGAAAAAGCAATAAAAAAAAATGAGAGAGAGAGAGAGAAGGCACGAGAAAATTGGAAGGGAAGGTGATGTGAAAGAGAGTTATTAAGGAGAGGTGGGGGTGGTAGGTGGGTTAGAATGGTGGCGTCTGAGGGCAGAAGAAGGGCGAGGGGGTAGATGTGGCAGGTGGGGTCCAAATTGGAGGTCGGTTTAAGACTATAGTGGGAAGGAAAAAGAAAAGGAAGAAGAAGAAAGAACTAGTTAGGAATTGTGATTGTATTGGGCATGAGTTATAATTAATGAGTCTCTACCTCGCTTTCAATATAAGGCAAAAGCCAAGCATTCTCCTCCTCTTAGTCTCACCTACCATTCTCTATCTATCTGAGTATGGTCTACGTTTCTGTCACACATGCAACTTTATATTATTTATTTATATATATATATATACATATACGACGTATAGCCTTTTACGACCACTATTTTAGCTGGTCAATTTCTGCTCCTCCTCTTCTTCTTCTTGTTTGTCCCTTTATTGCATGCCAATAGCCACACGTTGACGAGTGACAAACCACTTTCACAGCCAGGCAGAAGTGCCCGCACGGGGGTAGCTGCCGTTTTTCGCCTCTACAGTTTTAAATTTTAGGTAAATTCTGTAGTTAGTTACCCAAAAAAAAAAATTACAAAAAAAAAAGAGATATATACAGCCAAAATGGTAAAAGAATAGATAAAAGCGTTCATTTGGTTTTTTTTATTGTTTTCTCTATTTTTGGTTGAACAAGTCTAGTTGACTGAAGAACGTGTGACATGCTCTTATTGCGGTTGTAGGTTGATTTTCTTTTTATTTTTTTTATTTTTTTTAGAGGAGGGTGTAGGTTGAAATTATTGGACGTAATAATACCCTTTTTTAAAAAGAAACAAATATATTTTATTTTTCAACGTAATTGTTGGCCGCTGCTCCCTTAAATAAAAAAGAATAATGTTCGGCTGCTGCTACCTTAAATAAAAAAAGAATAATGTTGGCTGCTGAGTTTGACCAGGAAAAGTCACTATGCAGTATAGCACTGAATTTTGTCAAACTAACATCGCGCATGATATGATGGCAAGGCAATATTATTGGTATATCTAGTATTACTATAGCCGGTAAATTCATTTAACATTAACAACTTGCTTCTTAAGAAGGCAGAAAATAGGATTAACTGAAGAGAGAATGTGACTATTCTATTGCAAGTGTCTATGCAAATGCAAATGCATGCCCCGTTCATTTTACTGATTTGAGTTTAAAATTTGAGTTTTATTACAGTAAAAAGCTCTAAAAAATAATCACATATAACTTTTTTGCTACAGTAAAAAGCTCTCACATAAAATCACATATCAATTCAAATTAAAAATTCGAATTAACGAACTAAACGGGCCTACATATTTCGCAATATGATAACATATTCGGCATATTGTTATACATTATTTGGCATACATAGTTTAATTGCTGCAGGTCGACAATTCAACACCTGATTCTATTAAAAAAATGACGAGTTTGAATTTTCTCATCCCGAAATTAAAAAAAAAATAGATATTTAAATTTTAAGTTATTCAGTTTATAAAAGGAATTAAATGGTATGTAAAAAAATTAAGAAATTATATTATTATAATTATTGAGTGAAAATGTAAATACATTAGCTAACAACTAACTAGTGTCAACTTTTTTATGTTTATTTATTTATGTTAACTTGAAAGTTGATATTTGAATTCCACACTTTAAGATTAAATCACGTGTGAGTTTAGCGTTAAGTTACACATACAGCTAATATGCACAAATAATAAATTGAACATCAAAATGTAGGATTGAAGGTTGTCCCAAAAACGCTTGTGCTGACTTCGTTAACTGTAGTAGTGTGTCAACACATCATCTAATCAGTAACTAGATATCAAATTTTTATATTATTTTACCCTTAAAGGTAGAGAATTTGTCAAGAAAGGAGATTGAGTTAAGTGATACTTGCAACCACAATGTATACATAGTATTGAACACCGACCTATATAATTGTACGGGTATATGCGTGACAACTACGTACGAGTGAAAACATAACCTTTTCAACATGGTCTAATAATTATTTATTTATTGTTTTCCAAAAGGTTCTTTAGTTTTGTACTTTTGTCACGTTTTTATTCCAAAAAGAAAGTTCGTAGGCTAAGTTCATTCGTCGTATTAATTAGAATGGGCATGATATAAGTTAAAAAAAGGAATGCGGATGATATATTTGACATGTTCTAGGTATACCATTTTCAAGTTAAAAAAAGAAAAAAGAGTACACCGATATGTTAAATGCATACTCTATTTCATATTCTATTACAGATGTTAGTTTAAATTTTTGACACGTGTTATTCTCACTTTCTCAAACATTACTGTTAGTACCGGTTTTAGTCTTTTAACACTTTATAAGACAATATGAATAATGCAGAAACATAAATTAAAAGAACACGAGAGAAATGGTATCGCGGTTCGATAACACCTTACTCTGCGGGGTCACGCCCAGATGATGAACAATCCACTAAGAACTCTTTTACAATTCAATTGGACTTAATCTACCCAAGACTCCCTCCCTAAGAAGACGCCTATGAACTTGCAATTTTTCAATGGACTTGAACAACGAGATCCCCTCGACTTTTAACATTGGAATCCCTCTAACTAAGTTTTTCTTCCGAAAAATACTCAAATCATCTCTCTCAATATAAGTGCTCACTTATGTCTCACAACCCAGCAAAAACTCATCAAAAGGCGTACAAAGACTTAAGGGACACTTTCAATAAATAAGCAAGCTGTGAATAGTTTGACACATCCTCAATTAATTCGTTGAACCAAATCTGTTGCAGATCCTGGTTGCAACAAAACTGCAACATAGCTGTTACGGTCAACTTTCTCAAAACCAGACGAATCAATTTTCTTTAATTTTGAAATCTTTCTAAAACTGATAAACGAACCTGGACACGTTCTTAGGTGACATAAGAAGATCATAGAGCTATGAAATCTCAATCAAGAATCAATCAAATCAATTTTCCATCTTTGAATCAATAGTTACTTAGAAAAATAGAAACTAAAACAAGTTTCTGGATTTTTTGAAACCTGCCAAAAGAAACTTACAAGCTGCATAGACATTTTCAAACGCAATCATCCTAGCAAAACATTCTCCAAATAATGCTAATCAAGTCCGATTACAATCAATACACAAATTTAGAAATAAATCCCAACAATTACGAGAGTGTTATTCCTTTGTTTTAGCTCCCAAATTAACGAATTTACACATTTCAACATAAGGGGAAAAAAAAAAAAAAGCTTGGATTCATTACAGAAATACCCAACAAGGATGTTGGGGAATTATTGGGGAATTTCATTGGCGTTGATTTTACTCGTGTACAAGAAGGATGTGGCATATATGTCCAAGTTTAGGCCGAGATTGATGTTCATCAAGAGAATCGCAACACCAACAATGGCTCACGAAGATGCAAACCTCTCCACCATTTTTTTTTTTCACTCTTCTTCTTCTTCTGCTGAGAATGTGTAGATTCGAGAACCAAAACAAAAGAATGGCATTCTTGTAGGTAGATGTAACATGAATGACTTATTATTACGTTTGTTTGTTAGAAAAAAATGAAAATGACACGTGTTAAAAAATTAAATTAGCATATAAAATAGAATCTGAAATAGAATCTGCATTTAATATTCTTTTTATTATTAAGTACAAGTTTTTAATTGAAAATAATTGGTATTGTTGGGGTTGAAATTTCCATTTTATAATAAGTCCTAATCAAGCAAAAGGACAAACGTGTGTAAACATACACACGGACACGGTGCTACATCCACCACCGATTTCGTTACTTAATCGTTCATGCGTGTCCCTTGTATTAATCAAGTGTATATCATCTATCTAGCTATTTTCGTAGTCAATATTTTATTTCGACAGCATAAATTAATATTAAAATTTTAACTTAAACCTGATGCAAAAAAATAAAATAAAATATAGATTCAAATAGGAAATGATTAATAGAGCTAATAAAAAAATTGTAGTACCATTACCAATTTGATCATAATAAAACAAATAAATAAGATAACAACAATAAAAAAAAGTCGAAAAGAAAAAAAAAACCATAATTGCATAACTATGGAAAAAGTACGCAAGTAGTTTTAGTTTTACTTCAAAACATACTTTTTTTTTTGTTTGTAAAATTCTAACTTATTATTTTGAGTTTAGGCTAGAGCCAACAAGTATATTTCGAAAAAAAAAATCCAAAAGAAAAAAGCATAATTTTAAAGAATGTGTAACGTCATCCGGAATTAAACTTGTTTAATTATTATAATTGTGGTTTATTAGTGTGCTTAAATTGATTTTCTTAATTAATCATGAACTTTTAAATTTATTCTTCGTATTTACAATTTCACCCCTATTTATTTTATTTATTTTTCTTTAATATTTTTTCCAATTTTCTTTTCCTGCTATTTCTCCTTTTCCTCTTTCCTTATT